TTTTTGACTGCAGAGCAGAGTTTTGGAAACCAGAAAAAAAAATACGTGGAACTTTTTAAGGTTTTTTAATCCAGTGGCCTTCCTTTAGGCCGATGAACTCCCAAGGTAATAAGAAAGAACTCTATAGTTGTTGATTCTATTTTAAAGTACTCTAGAGAGGAAGATTACAGGACATTCCCTCATATACTTTTTCCAGCTGTTATTAGCTTCATAGGATGTTTACATGAATCCTATGAAGGATCCGGACACTACCCACCTATTCAAAACAGTTCTGCTAAATCTGGCAGTAATATTTCTTTCAGTATACTAATGATAAGAATCTTTTTTTCTTCTCAATACATTTCCCTTAATACATCCACCACTGAATTACTTCCCATTTTTGTCTCATTCTTGCATTTGTATACATGTTGATAAGTTACTCTTTCTTCTTTTCCTCTGACTTTATGATCACAGAGTATAAGCACATTTATAATGCTGGTTGGTAATATTTAAAATTAAACTTACTTTATATTTTTTAATGTTTTACAGTGAAAGAGATACACCCATGTCTGGTTGGATAAGAATAGAATCACAGATTTTTAAAATCAAAAGAGATATTAAAGTAATAGGTTCCATATTCCTACATTTCTGTTTGGGTAACTTCAATGACAAGGAACTTAATATGTCATGATGCATCCCATACAATTTGCTGGGAGATTTAATCTGCTGTTATATAATATTTATTCTTATATGATGCTGGAATTATATGACTATTTTCTTTGAAAATAATTTTGGGGGTTTTCATTATTTCCTGTTAATTTCATCTTGCTAGAGTTGATCTATCATTCCAATGTGATAAGAAAGACTAGACATTAATATTATCTGGAGTATTTACTACCACTGCTAGCTTTCTGTCATGTTATCTATATCCTTATTCATCCATTCATCAACATACAAAAACCCCAGTGCTATGAACAGAAATCTGTACACTATTTAACAAATCCTTGGAGAAAATTAGCATAAAAGAAAGATGTCATAATATACGATAATTATAGTATTTCTGTGGTGTGAAAGTATAGATCATCAATGAAAAAACAAATTAAAGCTAGATTGGCCTTTAATCTTTAGTTGATGCTAACCCTAATGATTGTTTATCCTACTTCTAAGTCCTCATGAAAATCACTTTTTCACATTATAATGTTCAGTTGGAACAGTAAATAGAAGTGGTCATCTCCAAGTGATTTCATGGATGTTGAATGCTTCCTACTAAATACTTATTGTCACAAGGGACTTTGATATCTAAAATAATGCAATCCTAGACCTCTCCTTTGGGAACTGACTCTGTTAGAATATAAGTATTCTTAGAGTCAGCATATTAATTAGCTCATATCAATAGTATACCTTCATATCAAAAAACTTTCAGAGGTTGTCTTGAGCATCATTTTGGTGAAAGAGTAGTAGAGATATTTTTTACTCTGATAAATAATAAGTGATGGCTAGAGAAAAAGAATAGACCAAAGGGGAGGGCTGGGTGTCAGTATGATATTTCCTCTTTGTTTTCTTCTTTCCTCACTCCATTCCTATAACTTCACTCCTTGATAGACTCACTGGAATCATCTAATCTGAAACTGTAATTAAGCATCCTGACTATTTCTTTTCTCCAGATGAGTGTATTGATGATAGGTCATCACCTAAGGTGACTCTCTATTCATAATAGGACACATGCACAAAAAAATCCTAAGCTTACATTCCAAGATTCTTTATTCATCACTTCCTCCTCTCTATCAGTGTGGCCCATTTTATTTCATTCACATTAAGTATCTCATTTGGGTGTGGTAGTTAATGTGTCAGCTTGACTGGGCTTCAGAGTGACCAGATATTTGCTCAAATATTATTTTGGTTGTGCCTGTGAAGGTGTTTTGGATGAGATTAACAATTGAATTGGTCGACTGAGTAAAGCAGATTGCTCTCCCTAATGTGCATGGACCTCATCCAATAGGTTGAAGGCCTGAAAAGAACAACAGGCTCATCATCCTGTGAGTAACAGGGAACTCCTGATTAATAGTCTTTGAGCTAGAACATTGTTTGTTTGTTTTCTTGCCTTCAGATTTGGTTTGAAGCATTGGCTGGATCTTGATATTGCCAGCCTTTGGACTGGAACTACACCATCAGCTCTCCTGATTCTCAGGCCTAAGGTAAACCATTAGGACTTGTACTGGAACTAGACAATCGGTTCTTTTGGGTCTCCAGCTTGTTGACTGCAGATCCTGAGGCTCATCAACCTACATAATCACATAAGTGAATTCTTTATAATAAGTCTATCTCCCTCCCATCCCATACTCGTTCTGTTTCTCCAGATAACCCTGACTAATACATCTTGTAGCTTTTGCCTACACAGGTCTGGAATTAAGCCCCATTTTGATGGGTACTACTATATGCTGCCTGCCACATGTCTCCCTAGAGAGCCAAGGAGAAATATCTCCTTAGATTGCTTATGGGTGTACACTGTCCATGTTTTAACCAACATTGTTCCTTAATTTCACATCTTGTGGACCATTCTTTGCCAGATGCAGGCTTCATATTACCATATTTTTTTTAAACTTTTTTTTTTTTAATTTATGATAGTCACAGAGAGAGAGAGAGGCAGAGACACAGGCAGAGGGAGAAGCAGGCTCCATGCACTGGGAGCCCGACGTGGGACTCGATCCCGGGCCTCCAGGATCGTGACCTGGGCCAAAGGCAGGCGCCAAACCGCTGTGCCACCCAGGGATCCCCCATATTACCATATTTTACAATGTCCTATATCATCCACACCATTGACCATCTCTAGCATTGCTCTTTCTGCTGTCTATCCAGGTTTCTATCCTTTACTCATGTATCGTATTTTGAGTTCACTATCAATTCACAATGATAAAGCAAGCACAGTTGTGAATGGACACAAGAAGCCTCCTGAAACTTCCCTTTCCCACTGTTAACATTCCACTCATAATTAAAATTGATCTGTGTGACACTGTTAATGTTTTTAAACAAGATTTACACTAGTGTTGTTTTGTGAATTCACAAGTGCTAAAGGTAGAAATATTAGATGCCAACTAGTCTTTTATTTAAAGAACCAACTATACATCTTCAAATGATGCTTTATGAGAAGAATGGTACTGAATTCAAAATTTAAAAACAAGTTTTAGATCCATCTCTTTAATGACAATGAGACAGGCAGTCAGATCATTTGCAGAAATAGCAATCAGGCCTAAGATCACCGTTTAAGGGGAGGCAATCATCAGTGCTCTCATGCTTACCCACTTCCCCTTAGGAAATGGTTGGTGCAGGTTTGGGGACAAGAGTTTAGCCCTGAAATGAAAAAGGTATGAAGAAATGACCCTTGCATTTGTGGAGATCAAATTTTCAATTAGTGAGGAAAGGGATAAACAGAAAGGTTTTCCACATTTTCATTCATTAACATTCACATGCACACCTCAATTTCCAAAATAATACTTGTAGAAAATCCTGATATCTTTTAAATGTCAATGAGTTTGAATTATACACAAAACATTGGAATGACTCAGATTTATGTCCATAAAAAATATCTTTGAGTCCCATTGAAGACTGTCTAGTTAACTAATTTGTTTACAGAAGTGCAAGCAAGCTCTGAGAAATGGTTTCCTGCAAAAGATCATAGAGCATCCAAGGTGTTTGCCAGTATAGTGCCACCGCAGCACAACAGACCTTTTTAAAATTTTGTTTTGTTTTCAATAACTATGCCATTTGAGTGAAAGGTTTTTTGATTATTCATATTTATTCATACAAAGCATTTTAACCCCCACTTCCCTACTCCTTCAATCCAATTTGCAAGTTTTCATTTTTGCACGGTGTAAGTTTTTATTTAATTTCTTCAGGAATTTAAAATACTATAGAAAAATTATCTAAATAATTCATTTTAAACGTACCTTCACCATACACAACTGAGCTGTTGTTTCTTTTTTTTTTTAATGCATGAATCTTTTTCTCTGAGTATGAAAGTTTGTTACATTAAATAAGGTGGGGACAGCATATTACCCACTACTTCATATTTTTTGTATGTACTAAGATGTAAAGAGGGGTTGTTTTTGTCCGACCTTAGAAATGGAACATTAATGGGAGAAAAAAATCAGAAAGCTGAAATAATTTCAACAGTATCTAATTATAATATATCCCCACCTTGATATACTTTTATACACATAAAAGGAAATGCAATTGCAAAAATTTGAACGATAAAAGGACACAATTAAAGAAAAAAGGGCCAAATTCTCTATTTTGATTCCAAATAGAATTAGTGGAGATTTTTAAAATAGGCCTCAGATGACCCTTTAAACAAAGATAATACATAGTTACATATTTTCTTTTCTTTTTTTTTTAAAGGAAACAATTTTTTTTATTAATTTTTATTTATTTATGATAGTCACAGAGAGAGAGAGAGAGAGAGGCAGAGACACAGGCAGAGGGAGAAGCAGGCTCCATGCACCGGGAGCCCGACGTGGGATTCGATCCCAGGTCCCCAGGATCACGCCCTGGGCCAAAGGCAGGCGCCAAACCGCTGCGCCACCCAGGGATCCCTAGTTACATATTTTCAATGCGATTTTACATTGTAATAATTTTTAGAGACTGAATTGTATGCCTACTCATATGTTGAGCCAGAAGCAAACTCAATTTATGGACAAAATATGCATTCACTGATAACATTGTGAATATTAATTTGGGACTAGAGAGCTGCATATTATGTCTTTACTACAATTCAAGAATAGAAGTCAGCACTGAGATATTATATTACATTTAGTTAAATTCAAAAGATGCTTTTTAACAAATCTGTCTTTCTTAACTGAGGATCATAAAAATTAAAAATCAAATGTGAGTAACTTGGAGATGTAGTCTAATTCCAGTAGGACTAGTATTTACCAACTATTCTTGTGAAGGTTTGGCAATAGAAACAAAAATAAACACGTATTTGAAAATTCTCATGTTATAAAAAGCATGAATAGAATACATACTGGGTTTAGAAGGATTGTAAGGAAAAGTTCACCTCCTCTGATACTTTTATCCAATTCTTGGGGTCCTCCCGGATATTCTTTGTAGAAAATAGTGTGGGTGAATAACCCGCAGGTCTGTCGAGGGAGGACCTGAGGAAAAGGGGGAAAAGGACCACACTGTATTACTTAATTAAGAGGTCTCCTGCTGTCTCATGACTTTGGAGGCTGCAAATTTTCAATTCGTATTGGAGTTTCCTTGGTTGCTAAAGCCCAAATCTTACTGTAATCATGAATTGCTGTTGATGTTATTATGTAAATATTAAGGGAGTTGCCAAATCAATGCTATAGGACATATAGGCTAAGCATTATCACAAAATGGTATAAATCTTACTCACCAACTGGGTTACGTTAAAGGACTGGCAAAAAATAAAAGCCTTCTTCAGATTAATTTAATTCAAATATAGAGATTTCCCAAAGTTACATTTTTCAAGGTATTAGGATATTATTCTCCTTGCTTCTGAGGTCAATCTTACATGGTACTCAGGTTCTAAGATACAAAACAATCCACTTTCATCTTTTCTAAATTTTATTTTTACTACACTCTGATTTTAAATTTTAATCACAGTAGTAGTGAAACCATATAATGACTGCCTCTGGCATATTCTGTGGTTAATTCTATTATAAATTTGAAGTCTCAACAGAGAAAGTAAATAAGTAATTTTATTCCAAAAGTGGACTTTGAATAATAAACTGCTTATCATCTAATGGAGAAATGCACCCCATTGAACAGAGTAACTATAATTTTATCTGTTCTTTGCTTAATTTCTGTAATAGTTTATATTAAATTCAAAGTAAATGAATCCATGTAATATTGGTTAAAATGAATGTTTTTATTTTATAATAGTCAAATGTTCATGTAACTCAGTAAAGAGAAAACTGGTGTTTTCACTCTGATTCAAATTATATAAGAGCAATTCTTTCTATACCTCTGTATTTTTATGAATGTCAATACCACTATTTGCATAATTCATAGCTCTATTTAAATCTGAGGCTTTTTAAGGTCTTCTACTACTGGTTGTGATTAGGCATGTGTATTAGTATGTTTTGTTTGGTTTTAGCTAGTGACTAGATAGAGAGATAAATTGTTCTAACAGCAATCTGAACAATGGATTAGGAAGATGTAAATATATAAAGTAGAGAGAACAGTTTAAAAACCCTTACTATGATCTAGGCAATGAGAAAATAAGGCACTGGAAGTAGGGATGGACATTTTACAACAGGCTATTTTATTTCAAAGTGAAGATTACCATACATTTTCATTCCAATGAATACTAAAAAATTCCAATGTAAAATTCATTTGATTCTATTCTCATTTATGGCAACCGATACTCCATTCTTGTATCAGATTATTATTATTTTTTCAATCAGTATATCTGAAAAAAAATATATATCCACCTCCATTGTTAGAAAATGCAAGGAAAAGAAAGAATAATAAGAAAACAACATCCTAGGATGCTCATAAGTGTCTGAAAGTCAAAATAAACTGAGTAGGTAAGTTTAGTTTTCATATGCTATTTGTTTGATCCTGTCTGTTGATTGTATAGTGATTTGGGAGATATTTTCTTGATCTATGGACCAACACTTTGCCTGGAAAACTCTCAATATGACCACCCAAACAAATAGACAAGGAGAAACTCCCAGAAATTAAGGTTCTCCAGAAAAACTTCAGTTGAGAAACTGCATGGATGGTTATTCGAAATTCATTTTCATCATTTTGAGCTTGTCTTGGATTTGGCGCAACCAAACTTATGCTTGTGAATCAAGCCACTAGCCGAACAACATGTTAATGTGTGACCAGTCACCACCATGGTATGCTAGGAACTTATGATATTCATGTCAGAGAGGTCAGAAGTTATATCTTGTATTTATTCCACATAATAGATATTAAAAGCCTTTAATACATGAAGCAACATATGCTCACCATGATGTTATTGTGAATGAAGCCCTTTCGGTAACGTGCAGGTTTCAAATGTGGATATTCTTCAGTGCTGGTGACCTGAATACCCCAGACCTTCTTCCAAGCTTCGTACAACTGAATATGAACTGGGTAGACCCCTGAGTGATGTGGTGCCACTGCATAGCCCATGTTGATAGGTATTCCATGTTCCTAAAAGAAAGAGAGAATATCACATGGAGTGTGGCCAAGTGAATTCAATTAAAATTATTTTCATAAACATTATTTAGCATACATTGAATTCTATGTGAAGTACAAGAAATATAAAAACTAACATAGAGTTCTCTCAGCAGCTCATAATCTTACAGAATCCTGATGGTATCATAGACATAGTAAATACTTTGGCATGTGGTATGTGGGTGAGATTAATTCTGGATTTTGAATACAGAAAGTTTTGGAGGAAGATAGGAAGAGAACATGGTCTTTCCTCAGATAGAAAAGCAGTGTCACTTGAGCAAGTGCCCAAATATGAGAGATGGAGAGCAACTTCTGTGCGTGTGCATGTGTGTGTATGTGTGGTTTTTTTGTGTGTATGTGTATATGTGTGTGTCACGTTGAAGACAACCAGACAGGTAAGTATAAACTATAAAGTAATGAGCTTTTACTGTTAACTAAGGGATTTGGAATAAATTCCACTTAAATAGTGTAGATAAGGAAGCTATCTGATCATGGAGGGACATATTCTGCTCTATGTTTTTGGAAGAAAGACCCAGTGTCAATATGTTAAGATGAACTAAAAGGGGGAGGAAATGAATTAAGGTTGTGCATTAGGAAGTTACTGCAATGATGCAGATTAGAGGGAACACAGGTACTCAGACTAGATTGATTATTGGTAGTCCAATTAAAAGCCAGGGGACAAATATTATAGGAGACTTAGTGATGTTTTGGATATAATAGACAAAATAAAAGCAAAATAAAGGTTCTCCCTTGGTTTTGGTTCATAGCAGCTCACTATACTTATTATGAAACATACACTTTACTATGAGATGCTTGCCTTGGGTAAACAGTCGAATCTAAAAGAAAACAAATACAAATTTAAAACAAGAAAATGGAAAAAAAATGTTTGCTAATGATATTATATTGCAAGGTACAGGATATAGACTGGCAGTTTTCTTTTTTCTTTTCTTTTTTTTTTATATTTTATTTATTTGTTCATGAAAGACACACAGAGAGAGGCAGAGACACAGGCAGAGGGAGAGCCAGGCTTTCTGCATGGAGTCCAATGCAGGACTTGATCACGGGACTCTGGGTTCATGTTCTGAGCCGAAGGCAGACATTCAACCACTGAGTCACACAGTGACTAGATTGGCAATTTTTTAATTTTCCTTTTTTACATTTCTCCCTTAAAGTGCTTATATGTTTCATAAGACCCCTTCTAGGATTGAATCTCATCAATGAGGTTATAATGATGTATACAGTATTATATGAAAGTAGATTGAATTAATAAACAAAACACAAAACTGTTGACAATTGCCATTAATATTTTCCATTATATGGCATAAAGCGTAGAAAAGAATTCAGTCTGGTATAATAAGCTAATGGTGAATGGGATCAAATATCTGTAGTTCCTAAGTCACATGCCACACTCAGCTCAGAAGATGGGCCCTAATTACCTTGCAAGGCTCCATCATTTTTCCTTTCATGGAATAACTCTCATTGTATAGCCAAATTTACCTCTTTTTCACCATGACTTTGTGTTTTCTAACATCTATTACAATAAATGACTCTGTGGAAAGACTGAATTATGAAATCAATGCTATAAAATGAGCTGGAATCTTTTGCTAGGCACTGGGGAAAATTCATTCCTTGGTGTGTGCAGAAGAAAAAGCACAGAAAGCCATTTTTCCCAGGAGCTTATATTTTCAATACAAGGCAAGGTTGGAAACGTACAGTAACAAAACTACTTGGAAGTTGTCAGAGGGGAAGGCAGCTACTGCTATTTTGACACATCACGGGGAGACATGTACTGGGAAAAGCCTTAGTTCTTTTGGCTTAGTTCCATGTTCCCAGTGAATCATCAAAGCATTCTGAGGATCAGTATCATCAGGTAGTCAAGTGTGGATGCACTGGATATGAGATACAGATTAATTTATTTATGAAAGAAAAATAGGGTTGAGGGTGTTGAAACCCTTCTATGTAGTAAATAGAACTCACGTGACTGATATTTACAGAAGTACTCCTGATTTGCAAGAAAGGAGAAATAATTTGTTATATTCTCATTACTCTTTCATGATGCCTATGAAGGTTTTTGTATAGTTTTGTCCCATGATTTGCAAAATAACAGTGTAAGAATCCTAATAATCTATACTAATCACTCTTCTAGTCCTCATTTTCTATCCCTGTATAATATTTTATTCCAAATTTGGAGCCTAGAACATTATATAAGTATGTAAATGTCCTGGAAACAAAAGGATGAAAAATAAAATCATGGAAGAATTGAAATATCAAACAACGGTATTTTCTCAGGAAAAAAAGACATTTCAATTTTGACAGGTAGTAAAATGAATTGTAGACTTTTATGAAAAACCAGAAGGTAAAAAGCAATTGATTTAGTGAGTAGGAAGGAAGGGGCAGTAAAAGGATTTTATTGTATTTATTGATTTCTGGGGGCTCAATGTTATACTGCTCATAAGGTCATCTTATCACACTGACAACCAGAGCTCAATCAAAATAGTAAATCACACTAGATAATTATGAGTTTATACTTTTTCAATCTAAATGATAACACAAAATGAAAAGTAATTCCCTAGAAACTCTTTTTCTGTTATCAAGAGTCTTGCTGGACTAGAAACCTTCATTCTTTACTGTCCAGAGCTTGAAACACCCTTCTCAGAGATTTGGTCAACTAAAAAGTGAACTAAACATTATATCTGTACAGGATCACAAAAATTACAAAATTCAAAAGACTTGCTAGTGTGAATAAAGGAAGTATTTGAAACTATAAGAATAAGGTGACAGAATTAATTCAAATATGGCATTTATTATTTATTAAAACAATGTCTTTTATAGTATCTAAGATTTCTATGATATTATGGTAAGACACCATAAATATTTACAGTTTAACTTAATTACATTTTCTCAGGTACATTAAGTTCCCAGTTGATTAGAAAATGGGATAATGTTTTAATCTACAGGCTATATAAAAAATAAAGCTGCCATTTTTCAAAACTTAGAAGAAAATAAAATGCACTTAACATTAAACATCTAATAGTAACTGAAATAGTCTCATTTAATTTTTCTTTGATCATTCCTATTGATCATGTCTGCTTGTAGTTGTTAAGTATTTATGAAGCGTTTTCGCAGTTATGTCTAATGAGATAATGAGATCCTCATACTTACCATGTGAGATGGCCCGGATGTTATTATCAAATGTGGAAACTGAGGCCCAGGAAAGGCAAATGACTTGCTCATGTTCCTAAATGTCAGAGCCAAAATTATAACCCAGTCTTCTAAATTCATAGATTTTTCATTTGCTCTTCTACAAAGTCATTACTACTGTAACTCCTGCTCAAGCAGTTAATGATAGGAAGCACTTTACAGACAAAGAGAAATGGCTTTAATATATACTTCTGAACTGGAACTCCTATCCACTTGGAGTGATCTTCACCTGGAGAGTTTATAAAGCAAAATTCTCTATTTCCCAAACTTCTCTGCAGCTATCATTTTTTATGCAAACACCATTCAGCCAATTAGAAGTACTCAGGACATATTTCAGAAAGCAGTGGGTGGGCAAAAGCTAAAGTGTGGCAGCTCCTGGCCCCTGATGCTGACACTTAAGATCTCAAAAACAGGATGCTCTCCTGAAAGAGTATTTGGGTGCCCATTTGCAGGGTGACTGTGAAAGCGTATTGCTGCTACCAGAGCTCCAGCGGCATCTTTGTATGTGGTCGTTCCCCTAGGGAATCAGTTCTGCCTGGCTTTGTGAGTCCCTGGAGAAATATTGCCTAGAATCTGCTCCATCGACCCTTCGAAAGTTTTCAGAAGTACTTAAATAGCTGAATAAAAACTCCCCTTGCTTAAAATAACTCTCGGTGGCTTCTGCTTTTAGCATGGAAACCTGACTGATACAGGTAGTTTTTGCCCCTTTGTAATAAGCACAAAAGGTTTAAAGGGTTGAGATGAGATGTCAGTGGTTTGAATTCTAGGAAAACAGAGAGAGAATCTGCTAATGCACTGCTCAATATTTCTTCAAGGAAACTCACTGATTGGTTGTGGCAAACGCCTATTTGTCTAATTGGATACTATCAGGTAATAATGTAATATGTAAGACTGTTTAATTTTATGTACTAGTCAACCAGTGGTAATGTACAGAGAAAATAAATATGAGACTAGTTTACTTAAATAACAAATACCACAGATATTTAATACAGACCAACATGTGATTAAACCATATAATGTAGGTAATATAAAGAAGGGAGATAAATTCTATTGAAAGAATATTTCTCCAATGGATTAATCTGGATGATCACAAATGGTTCTGTGCCAACATGCATTGCAATATTCCTTCATAATGATAACCACATACTAATAAGTGGGCAGAGATCTGTAGACATCACATGCAAAGGCAGAAAGGCCCATACGTTGAGCATGAACAGCACCCTGGTTTTGTGTTTTGTGGCCAGTCACTAGATACTTTTTAGAAGACCTGATACATCATAGAAAGCCAGAGATATAAAGGAGAAAAATGGGCTCATGGACATACAGGCGATCCCCGGATCTCCCACAAATAGTTGGACAGAAACATGAAGAGTGCTTGGAAGTCTTGATACAGGGATGATGAAGAGCCAGACAAATGGTATTTTTCCCCTCATTATGTCCTTCTGTTTGTGTTTCAGGAGATAATGTTTGTGAAACCAGCCCACAATACATTTAGGATAGTTTTATATCCCTAGCACTTAGCAACATGCCTGGTGCATGTTTGATATTTAATAAATATTTTTTGAAGGAAATGACAAATTTGTAAAATGTTATTAAATAAGTTAATCATAAATATTTAATAAATGAATATAAAATGAAAATAAATAAGACTGCATAAATTAATATACTTCATTTGCTTCAGTTACAATATAATGCATTAAAGAATATCTTGTTGAACTTAAAGTATTGATTTGTACTCCTATATATACAACTCCTAGGGAGCTACACAGGTGCTA